CGGGCACCGCGGTCACACCCTCCGCAGCCGCCCCGCCCCGGGGAGCCCCGACGGGCGTCGCCCTTCCCGTCCCCCCCCGCGCTGCACCCTGGGGCCTTCCTGTGCGGTGCGGGGGCGCCCAGCCTGGGACTGGGCCCGGGCGTTTCCCTCTGGTGGCGGGCCGGGGCCGGGTTGGCTGCCTCTGCTAGCGAGGCAGGTGCGGTGAAGGAAGCCCTCGCTTCTCTTGACCTCTCTCCCGCCCACCCAGCGGCTCCTTCCCGGACACCCAGCCCCGGCCCCTTCAGGTGTCACTGTCCCGGCCAGGCCGGCTGAGGTGTTTGACTCACACAAGTTATCCCCCCGACCGCAATATGCCCTGCCTCCAGTTACTCCTGTGCCACAGGTCCACTCTCCCTGCAAGGATTTCATCCTGGTTGTTGCCAGGTTACTTTTCCCCTCCAGAGCTGCCATTTTTACTTTGGGAGAAAACTCCTGAACAGTTTATGCTCCTGGGAGAGCAGCAGCTTTCCCAGGATAAGCCGAATCTCTGTACCTGGTCTTCACTGAGCAGATAGGATTTTGCAGCGTGTTAAACTCAGAGGTGGTCCAGTCATCCACCCTAGCGATCTTCAAAAAGCATCTCCACGCCCATGGTGCTGGGGTCATCTGATCCCAGCCCAAGTGCAGGGGCCTGGACCTGATGATCTGTAATGGCCCTTGCAGCCCCTAACAACGATGAAACTCCAGAAAAAGAAGTGTTGCAGAGAACAAAGGAAAGCCTTAGGTTTGCTCACTGTGTCAAAAAGGGGAACTAACTTAGACGATCCAGTAAGACTTCATTTGTCCTGTCGTCTAACTTTTCTAAAACAGAACAAAATGAAGTGTGCCAGATACATTCATAGGTTATTTTAATTACTAGACTGAAAATTAACTTGAGGCCCCTGCCAGTAACTATAATGTCTGTGGTTTGTAGTTTTACTTTGATTCTGACTATCGTACGCTGTTCACGTGGTTACAGGCATTGCAGTTGCTATTAGGAGACCCTCTTTTTAGTTGCTTAGAATTTTGCCACACTTGAAGTGTTTGGGCTGGAGTTTTTTATGCTGTGTGTTTGACAGGAGCTGAATTGTTTTGCAAAGTCTCAGGTTAAACACTTTAACTATTTTCAGGGAAGTGGTTGGGGAATATTTGTCACTGAGTACTTTAGAACAGTGGTTTTCAACTTTTTTTCATTTTTGGACCCCTATACAATTTCAAATGGAGGTGCAGACCCTTTTGAATTCTGAGTGTGGGTATTCACGTACTTTTGATTGATAATAGCCATCTTTTGTGGACCCCTTAGACATAGTCTCCAGACCCCCAGGGGTTTGTGGACCACAGGATGAGAACCACTGCTTTAGAACAAGGCCTTGCGCTTTGGCAGGGAAGGGGGATGTGCTTTTCGTCATCCCCATAAAAATCCACCCACATTTGACCAAGATATTAATCTTTGAAAAATTTCACTCTAGGCCACTTATCAGAAATTTTTGAATCTGGCAATTAAAGTTTCCTATGCTTCCAGCTGTACTGAACATGTTCCAGTAGGCTACGGGCAGGTCTATCTCTGCGTTTGATACTTTCAATTCCTGGATCTGGAGATAGAAATCATTTCAAAATGTCAATTCAGATTTGTTTTAAATTTCCCGCTGACATTTTGAAAGTGTCATTAAAATAATCAATTTCTCATGGAAAAAAATAATTTAACCAGCATGGCATATTTCTTTAGGACCTTTCTGGTGGAAAATTTCACATATCCCCCCCATAAGCAATGCAGTAGTAAAAACACCTAACTCCAATTTATACCAGTGATTTAGTGTGCGGTATATCTGCAGTTGCTGAATTATGGAGATTAGTTTTACAAGTAAAGCCTTTTGTTAGTGTTAATGTGCCTCTACTGGTCTTACATATATATAATTTATATTTGCTGTATTCGGTTTTCCTGAAATACAACTGAAGAAATAGCTGATAACATTAATGGTGAACTTTTCCTTGTCTTGGTTTATTTATAGTAGAGGACAGCAGAGTAGGTGTCATTCTTTGTGGACACATGGCATACATCATCCCCAGAAGGAGTTAAAAATGTGATTTTATACAAATTGCAAATGATCTCATATAACGTGAGACTTATTTTTTGTGGTAGTCTATACTGGAAACATTTTGCTTCAGTGGGATGGGTGGAGGTTACAGAATACTGAAAAAGAAAAAATGTAATTAGAGAAGCGGTAGGAAGATACAGAGATGATTAATGATGTGTGTCCTAATATGTATAAGAGAAAAAGTTTGTGGCATGAGCAGGTGGGCATGTGTAATGTTTCTTAATTGTTTTTTTCCTTTCTCATTTAAAATGAATGTTTATAGGATTCATTCTCTGCCTGAACTCTAGCCCTCTATTCTTTTGTTTCTTCTCAAAAGCCATTTATTCAAGGAAAAAACTATTGTGTTTTATGGCATTTGTGTGGTTCAAAATTTAATTTATGCAGTTACAAATTGTTCATTTCCTTTTCTTATCATTGCCTTGTGGATCAATGGATGGATAATATTAGAGCAGTGAATGCTGTCATTATATACATTCAGCTCTGGGAGCCTTATCAAAACGCATTACTGTAATGCACATTTCACTGAAACAGCAGATGATTTCAATCCAAGCCAGAACATATGTTTCTGAGAGGAAACAAATAGAAACAAGCACTTTTATCATCAGCAAAACAACACTCCACAAGGAAAACCTGATATTTATCAAGTAACACATTTTTTTTCACTGACTGAAAAAAAAGGAATTCTACAATGAATTTTACCATGACTATGCTCCCATCATTTTGTATTTCAGTCTCTTCTTGCCTTCATAATGATGTGATATTTAGGGATTGATATTACAGGCGTTTTACAAGACTGACACAGACAAAATTCTCATTGCATTGAATAGTTTAGCCTCTACTCAGTCTAAAATTTATTGAAATCAGTGGAAATGCTGAATATACATAGTGACTGCATTCACTGTTATAATCTGACCTATGTATTCTTCTACTCCCTAGGGGTAAGACAATGAAAATAACCTTTTGTAACTCATTAATTTCCTTCGGAATCACAGAAATGTCATAAAACACAAATGCTATTTGTACATTGTTCTTAAAAAAAAAGGCCTTTAGGTAGATGGTAGAATGAGGTTTGGAGACAGGAAGTATATGTAAAGCAGATCACCTTGTCATGCATACATCCATGCCGCAACAAGCTAATAGCAGAATTTTGTACATCCTAGCTAAAACAGGCGCCATTTAATGTAGGTTTTTCTTTAGGATTTTGGTGGTCTCAGACTAATGAAATATGACTATGTTCCCTCCAGATACTATTATATTCTAGATACAGACCTTCACTCATTAGCACTGACAATAAGATTTTTAAGGCTACACCAATCACACCAGCTCCAAGATGAAACTTTTGGAAGGTGGATTGGTAGAAATATCAAAGGCTCACCAACAAGAGCTCCGGTCAGGCTCCAGGAGCAGCAAGAGATGCATGGGTGCAAGCCAGCTGTGCCCTCGCTCCCTGAAGCCCCCCAGCAATCCCCAGCAGCCGCGGAGCACCCTGCCGACTGCCAGCACAGCCAGAGGTAAGCAGGGTCTGTGGTGGGAGGGGTCCGTGGCGCTTGGAGCGCTCCCAGCCGGGTCATGAAATGCTACAGGGATTTGGGAGCAGGGCTTAAGGGATTGGGGGCGCAGGTGGTGTTTTCCTTGATCTTCCCAGTTTCGGGCTATGGGCTGAGGAGGGAGAGGAGGACTGAGGTAGTGAACCAAAGACTGTGGGCTGGTGTCATTGCGAAGGCTTCAGCTTCCATTATCACAGTCCACTCTCTGGTGAGAGAGGCAGTGAGGTGCTGGGAAGGGACGGCCTCCACCTCTCTCCACTGGGGAGGAGGCTCTTCTCAGCCAGACTGGCTGACCTGCTCCACCAGGCTTTAAACTAAGCCCGCCAGGGGACAGGGGGGACTACTACCACTGCTGGCCTGCTGAGCAACCCTTGCAAAGCCAGCAGGCCAAGGCACTTAAGAGAGCCCACCCCTGCCCCAGCCCTGGAACAATCTGTAGGCAAGGCAAGAACCTCCAAGGGGACACTTGCATGCCTGTCCACAAATGCCAGGAGCTTGGGGAATAAACAGGAGGAACTTGTCCCTCCTGCTTAACACAAATTATTACAATGTCATTGGAATAATGGAGACCAGGTGGGACTCCACCCATGACTGGACCACAGGTATAGATGGCTATACCCTGTACAGGAGAGACTGAGTGGATAAAAGGGGCAGGGATGTAGCTCTCTATGTCAAGGAGAGCTACACATCCCTGGAAGCCGACATTGGCACCCAGGTTGGACAACTGGAGACCCTCTGGGTTAAAATGTGTGGGGAACATGGCACAGGGGACACAATGGTGGGAGTCTACTACAGACCTCCCACCCAGAATCAAGAGCTTGACCAGGAGTTCACCAGGGAATTGGCTGAGGCCGCACGCTCCCAGTGCATTGTTGTCATGGGAGACTTCAGCTACCAGACATCTCATGGGAAGAGCACTTGGACAAATCCAAATGGTCGCAAAACTTCCTCACGTGCATGGATGAGCTCTATCTGACAAAAGAAGTCTAAGGGCCAATGACAGATAAAGCACTGCTTGACCTGGTATTGGCAACCAGGGATGACCTAGTCAGCAACCTAACAATTGAAGGGAAGCTGGGTGACAGCAACCACAAGCTGATCATCTTCACCATCTGCCATAAAGCTGGCAAATCAGTCAGCAATACAGAAGTCCTCAACTTCAGGAAAGCTGACTTTGACAAGCTCAGGAGGCTTGTCAGAGAGGCCCTAAGGGACCATGACCCAAAGGGGAGGAGAGTTCAGGAAGAGTGGTTGCTCCCCAAGGGAGCGATCCTGGATGCAAAAGCTAAGTCTCTTCTGTCTCGGAGGAAAGGCAGCAAAAGGGCACAGCGGCCCCCTTGGCTCTGCAGAGAACTAGCCGACCTCCTGCATCTAAAAAGACAGACCTACAAAGCATGAAGGATGGGATCCACCTCCAAGGAGGAATATTCTGCACTGGTCCGGACCTTCAGGGAATGAACCAGGAAAGCCAAGGCTAAGACGGAACTCCAACTGGCTACAAGTATAAAGGACAATAAAAAGTCCTTTTTTAGATACGTGGGGAGCTGGAGGAAAAGCAAGGGCAACATTGGACCCCTGCTAAACCAGTGCTAACACCAGTACTTTTCAATGTATATATCTCAAACTTTTTGCATACAACATGTAAGTCCCACATATAACATGTATGGTGATGAACCATGCGCATCATGGTAGCCCAAGGAATAGACATGACAGGACTGGAAAAGACACTGAGTACTGACATGGAACTCATTACTATCTCCCCAAGTATCACTTAAAGTTGACTATAAATAAGTAGGAACCTACTCAATTTGAGTTGTCTGCCTCCCGATTTCGTGGTCCCAGCATGGCATCAGGCACCATTGTCATGGCAGAGCACATACCCCGCCCCACCCCATGCCTCTGATTGGCCAAGATGCTCCAGAAGTCATTCCCTCCCTGGAGACTGAGAGATGGCCCCAAACTGGG